AAATAAGCCACCTATATGAACCTATTCCTCTGAACAAATTTAGAGAAATTAGAAAACAGTAATGAAAGTGTTTTAAGTCAGGGTGATAAGAATTTTATAGCTATATATATGTTTTGATTTCTCATTAACAATAATAACTAGAAAGGTAAAATCCTTTTATTGCACTTTATTCATACAAATACATGTATTCTTTTTGTATGAAGATCTATACTAGTGAGACTTGTTACGGAGTGTGAATCGATAATGTAAGATATCATTTACTATCTATGTATGTTTGTATATTGAGCTATAAAAACCAATAGAGGGTTTCTAAACTATTCATCCAATTTTGATCAAACTTTGTTGAATTATTCAACAATATACAAAGTCGAAGATTTCTTGTAGAATATATATATAATATAGCTGTTTTTCGTTTATATTCTCGACTCAACCAAACTAAATTAAATGTGGAATAGAGATGGCTAGTTATTCGTACAATCAATATAGTATATTCTATGAAAAATGAACGAATTCCCGAATAATAACTAGTATAACATTTATATGAATTTCAATGTTATTATTTATATGCTTTTTGTTGACTTAACCCGTCTGTTGAAATAAATTCGAATATATTTTATCACAGTTGGTAACGCAAATATAAATATTAAATGAAAATCCAATTTCAGTAGATTTATAAAGTACATTTACACACTATATTAAAACTTTGCAAGCGCACGAATGTTGCTTCAATATTTAATGTTTTATCAACGACGAAAATAAGTATTTCACGACGTAAATTACCGTCAAAGTGACGGCCTGTAGTGAAGTGTCAATAAACGCTTAATTTCTTCCCCCATACAGTTAAATCCGCCATGATTGATTGACGCGTATTTGGAAACGGTTTTATATTAAAATGTATAAAGATCCATGGATCATTGATCAAACGTTGATAGATCCTCAACGTTTTGATCGGTGGTTGCCACGACATAAAAAAGTAGACTTTTTTATGTAAAATGAAGACTGTATTTGCAGTGTTATTAATTTAGTTTGTTACGAAAGTTGTTTGCTTTTTTAATGTACTTCACGTGTGTGAGGATTAGTAATTAATTTTGTGCTAAAGGAGAATGTAATCTCAAGCTACCGGGGGAAGGGGATTGTTAGTAATGTGGTGTAATAACCTCATTGCTATTAAAGTACCATGTCAGTTTGATCTCCATGCGGTTCCTCAAGGCAAATGGCAATTTACCACGATAGTTTACCGCGATAAATTATCGCGATAAACTGCCATTTGCCAAGATGGGCTAACTGACTTAACTTCATACTCATCTTATCATCCTCTACTGGTGCCCCGTCAGCGAAACTGTTAGCGCAGGTGGGTTAAGCATTCCATTATCATCCATAAAAGAAAAAAAACCTCAATCTATCTATAATGTATTTTTTAATATTTTTACGTCAGTCATCATTTTAGGTACTTTCAAAATACACAATAGCCACAATGTTTTATTTCTTATTATTATCCTGAATAATATTTTTTTTCAACTGTGTATTTTGCCGTATTTTTGTAACATCTGTGAATTGATACCAAGTGGTTATCTTGCCTGCGACTTTATTTATCTTTTCATAACAACGCATTTTTGACCTAATACTGAATATGGATATCTCCTCATTAGAGGAGAATCAAAGCTACTATTGCCCCAGTGAATTTGCTATAGGGTTTTGTTTTGAGTTTTCCTTCCTCTACACCAGTGTTCTTTGTTCTTTGTTCCTTTTGGCGCCTCTTACAGCATAAAAGTAGCGATACATCGTCTTACTCGTCATTATAAAAAGAACCTTATTTCTTTTTACATAAAATCTAACTCTATCTATGAATACATCCATCACTGCGTATCCGAACATAGCAACAGAAATATGTGAACAAAATGGCCATAAATAACCGTAGATAACATTAAAAGAGAGTTATGTATAATTGTTTAATAAAATAAAAATTTATATTTACATATTGACCTCATAGTGGTTTCTGCCGCGACTTAGATCAGATCTCAAAGACCGTAAGTTCGAATATAATCAACACAAAAAAATCAGTCCATGTATATTTCTGACCGACATCTTAGTGTATATGTAGCAACTGTTTCGTTTATCATGATGTCGATTGTTAGCACTTCTTTGACTACCTCATCCGGGTATTAGTCTTTAAGATTGTACTACATTGAGTGTATAGTATCGATTTGGTCCAACATCAATATTTTCAATATTATTTCAGCTAGGAGTTTCGTATCGTACTCGATCTCGGGGATAACTTTCAATGCTTTTGAGCAATATTATTGACTTGCTAGAAAGTTTGAGATAATCGCCCTCTTGTATTTGTTTATCTAACTTTAGTTACAGCTCTACCTTACAACACTGTAGTAGTACTTAATACTTTATTACTACTAAATTTATTTCGAAATTTAAATCGTTCTCTATATACTAAATACTTACTTCTGCATCTTGTGAAATGACTGTTATATTTAATGATTCTTTTTTTATTGACACAACAATATGTGATCTAGAATAATGATAAAAACTAAAATTTTCAATTTTTCTATAACAATTTCGAATAATAGAAAACACATTTTTCTATTATTCGAAATTGTTATAGAAAAATTGGTAGCTTGTTACTACCTGCGTGTTGAGTTAGACAGCTCATGTATCATTGATTTCTTCAAGCGTTTTCACACTACATAAAGTGACATCCGATTAGTTGGGCCAATCTGTCGTATCATGAAAAATTGCATGCGAGGATTCCGTCATATTCGTATTCAGTTCTGTCGCTCATCTCTACGGATTGACTCAACAAATTAATAAGTAAAAAATGTGATGGTATGAATAATGTACAATGTGGGACTCAATTACATGAATATAATACCTACTTACAATTAATTATATAGCCAGTAAAGCAAACTAAATAGTGTCTACTAAGTACTGCTGTTTCTAAACTGTGTTTCTATCATAATAATAAATAAATCAATATTTTATGTGCAAATGGTCAGTTCACTATCATCTGTAATATACATCGTCTCAACCGACAACATCGTATTACTATCCCGCAAGTATTGCAAGTATTGCTACAAACTGAAATGAAGTTGGATAGGCGATGCCTAATATCTATTTGATTGATCGATTCAAGTAATCTGGTATTAAATTGTATTATACATACATAGACGTTTAACCATAATCAAAACAAACAATACAAGTAGATTTGCGTGCTAGCATCCTATCTTAATTTTACCTTCGTTTTAATTAACTCTATAAATCAAATATAAAAATCAAATATCATACCCAACGAAGATAAAACACGAAACAAGAATAAAGAGGAGCATAACGAAATTTAAGTTCCAGCGTTGAATGCAAATGGAGCTCACCACGTAGGTATAACGGGAATGGTAAAGAAGCAAAAAGTTTCATGTTGTTCTGCAGCAAGGGACGATAAATCATAACAATATTGTGGAAATTTACTTTTTCCCTCTCGAGCCGTTTTAGGTGTCTGGTGAGGAAAGTTGTCTCGTTAAAAAATTGGCAGGCCCTTTGCGGCGATTCGTGCTTCGCCGTCGTTCACTTTATTTTTATCGTGCAACTCTTTGGTTGGAGACCTACTGCGAACTTTGTAAAGTAAGATTGTATAAGCGTTTTCATTTCCCCACAGTCTTTACTTTGTAAATGCGTTTACAATTCTGCTGTCATTGTAAATAGGGTAATAATTCTTAGCTTAATGTTTTCCACTTTTTTTTTTACGGTACAAAACTTACCTGAGGTATACTTTGTACTACGTCCTCTATCTCATCTATTTTAGCCAAGCACAAGGCAACTTCGTTATGAGTTAGATTTCGGTCTGGGTAAGGTGAGGTGAGGGTGAGATATGGTAGTCAAATTAGAATTATCTACTGAAGGCAACGTGCAAATATACACGCATACAAAATTACGATAGTTGTGTAAGTTACTAATAAGGCTATTACAAGTTTCTGTACAGTTGTTGGCTTTTCTTGAAACTTGAACTTGAACTTTACGTCTAAGTAAAATGAGAAAATTGTTGTACAATAGTGAACTAGTAATTAGTTTAGAAGTTTTGAAGATTTTAGTTACTAATTCTATCTTTTTACTTAGACGTAAAGTTAACATACTATCGATTAAAATAAGAATGATTAAATAAGCAATAAATACTTAAAAATTATAATATTTAATTTAATTTATTTAAGATCCTAATATAATACACAATTTCACTTAATAAATATAAAAATCGTGAGGTGATAGAGGAATTCTTATACATATCCTTCACATTTATGATCAATATGATTTCGTTTATATATATATTGATACATACATTGATAATATATATATATATATATTATGCCAGTTAAGTGTCAACATGATCAGGTAGTCCTTCATATGCTAATATGGCAGTATATATAGGTATATAATAAACAACCCTAAAGAGTTACGTAATGATTGAATCATTGTCTCGTGGATTACTACTCTTAATTATACCCAAGAAATCTCAAATAATCAAGACTTTAAAAAAACTGTACATGGTAATTTATATTTCTGACTGACTCTCCAGTGAAGAAAGCACAGATGTTAAACAAAAAAATGAAAAAAATACGAGTTCTTCTCATCTCGATATTATTCCGAACTGATCGTAGATTTAACATATCATAAGAGTCTGTAATAGACCTACATGAATAAAGATATTTTGAATTTGAAAAATTTTAATTTGAATCTGAACCGCGGCGGTACAGTCGTCTGGCATTCAAGTGTTACGTACACCACGACATCGACAGTCTAAAATGCCTCTGATTATCAAATCAAATCAAATCATAAGTCAAATAATATATTTTATCCGCTTATAAACGCCATTCTTTTTTGTTTTTAATTTTTTCCTATCGTATCCCATCTGGGATAAGAGTTCACATATTGTTTTTAATTTTACGTTTTTTAGCCTATGTTCAATGTCATAACACTTTTTAATAGAAATATTTCTTTCACAGTGCCTCCAGACATTGTCAGCGATGATACCTCCTCCGATGTATCGGTTCAAGAGTTGGAGAATGCAACACTGACCTGTAAAGCTACAGGGCATCCCCTACCAAATGTCACTTGGAGGAGGGAAGATCACGAACCTATATTATTAAAGAAGCCACTCTCGAGAGACTTTGACAAAGGTAAGATTCATTAACATGTGTTTTAAATCAATGTTTAATATCAGCTAGCGGTCATCCAGTGATCGAAATTATATTAAAGACAAACAATATTAATCTATTCTCAATTTGACCAGTTACTTTAACAATAAACAAAAGAGTATAATAATATATGTGTGTTTGTATAAATACATGGTAAATGGCAAATACATGGTAGTGTATGTAATGGTTGTTTATACATTTGACATATAATTGTGTAATTAAAAAAAAACATTAGCATTCTGCACTTCTTCTCTATAAATTTATATGTGCGAAATTTCATCTGCTCAGTCTGCGCAATTTTTGTAAAAATAAGTACAAAGTTTTTGTTTCACGTATTATTTATAGATTATTTTATTAAGACCGCCATCACATAGTGATTTGCTGCCCCAACTAACAAACTTCGTGAATTCTAATCTGGCAGGCATAAAATACTTAACGTATCTATTTATATTTTATACGCTCTGGTTATAAAAACGATGATATTAAATCAAATTAATGCGAGAGACGGTAGACTAGCCTTCTGCCACGTCGGATTTTAATACACCCAGCGAAATGTGAATAACCTAAATATTGCGTTTACCACATTTATATGTATATGCAATTATTTATATATATGTATTATATTTATATTGTATATGCACTAGCTGTGGTCAGTGGACTCACGGCTAGTGCAACCTAGTCGAAACGTCGACAGAGGTAAATACCTTTATTTACCTTAAAATTATTCATGTTAAGAACTGGTTAACAATATAAACAACTAGCTATTCCGTGCAACTTCATCTGCATCACACTAACTCAATTTACATTATATCTTTTTAAATTATAGCCTATGTGTTATTCTGCTGTATAAGCTATATCAGTTTAAAGATTTATCAAAATCAGTTGAGTAGTTTTTGCATGAAAGAGTAACAAACATCCATCTATACTCACAAACTTTCGCGTTTATAATATTATTACAATGTATATTGAACACAAAAGTTTAACAGTACCTATATATGCAATATTTAACAATGCCTCTGACTACCTCGTCTGGTATAACAGTCACGAAGTAAAGACACCACAAAACTTTTTAAATTAGTTCGTGATGTTTTAAAAACTCGTAATGAGTTGATTTTACCAAATTTCGTATGTGGAACACAAAATGTAGACACAGGTGTGTTTACAAATTGCTCGCCTGAGGGAGGCTGGAGCGACGCGGTTCTTGCTCTTAGCCATTACTCGCTCCGTTGAGGAGGTAAGCTCGATAGTATTAAAACTCGTAAGCCGACTCGAGAGTATTAAAATACTGTTTTGAAATTTGAATATAGAATTGGTTTTGAAAATAGAAGCATTGCATTGAATTTGATTCGAATTATTTGAATTAAGAATTATCTTTTTACAAATTAAATAATTTTTATCATGTGATTAAACCTAAAAAGGCCACCAAATAGGTCGTCAATTTGGTATTGCAAAAGATTCACATGAAAAGTACCCATTAATAACTTGTAGGATTATGTGATGAATATAGAAGAAGCTTAAGAGGTATGAATTATAAGGAGCATTTAATAAAATCATTTTTAGTGCCTACCAGATGGGCGTAACAGAGTGACGATATATATTTTTATATACATATATATCGTCACTCTATCACGCCCTATGTCTATGTCATAAAATCATCTGATTTTCAGATCACCATTATTTTTTCTGAACGCCATGTATAATTTTATTTTTATAGTAATTTTACGTTTCAGGGCAAAATCTGCTCTAAATGCAATGTAATAAAGTTTAAAATTACTTTTAACTAAAAAATGTATAAATTTGGAAGATTTCAAAATTATAGACTCATTGTGCTAAAGAAATTGTTGCAATCTCTTTTTATACCGCGATATAACTGTGACTTATTTTAGGATAATTGTAGAGACAAGAAGATATAACGATTCACCTCTTAAAATATTACAAGCTCTTTGCACGCCCCTTATACTTTACCCCTTCTTAATTTAGGGTAAAATGAAGTACGGCAGCATTTACGTTATACGACGGTTAATGGATTTTATCCTATATAATATATAGACGTAGAGTTCTATTTAATTTGGTTGGTTACATACTGTATTCCAAATATAAAAAATATGCAATAGGAATGTTACATTTTAAAATTAGAACACTATTTTAAAGGAGGTGTAGTTAGTAAGACCAAATACAATAAAAGTCATCCCAAGTGACGTCATTCAAGATGCTATAAAACTGGCTGGCTGGAAAATGTACTAAAAATATTTAAAAATACATCAAAACAATGTAATAACTTATAACTAATAGTACTACGTGTTCTTAATTTAAATCTAGGCTTTGTATATTGTCTACTAGTTGACTGTTACAACGGCGAACTTCGTAACGCCTAACACACAATGAGCGTCGATTTATTGACCGGATGACTGATTGACTGACTGATTTCGAATTATCGAGACCAGTTTGACAAAGGTGTAATTTGTACTCGATATTTTTGTTTACACTACGATTCGAGTATTTTTATGTATTCTGCCTGTGAATATTACTGATCTTTTTATAATCATTCTGCTGTTCGATGCGAAAACGAATCAGAAATATAAGAGTACAGTTCCGAAAGTACCGAATTGAAACTAACAATTACAAATACTTTATATGTATTTTGTACACTAGTACAGATTTATTTTGTTTGGTATTTTCAGATGGTAACAAATAGTAAAAAAATGTACAAACATATGGTTCTTAGTTCGGTTCTAATAAATATGAATTGTTCTGAGTTAAATTTTAATAAATAATAGCTATGTGAATTAGAGGGTAAACTCTCTAATATGAACGCAGTAACAATTAAAATGTTTCATGACTATATTGTAGATACCAATTGTTCCAGAATTAATACATTCAGGATAATTATCAGTCCCTGGAGGTAAAATGTGTTAAATATTAAGAAAGTTTTTATTCTTTTATTTGTGGTTTATTTTATTTTTTACAACCATAAAAACTGCTTATATATTTTATCGGAACTCTTGTAAGGTAAATCTGTTCGAACCGACATACTGATGCTAAATTGCATTATGTCAGAATGTCTGTCATACTCACAAAATTCAAATATGCTTGTTCGAAATTTGAAATAGGAACAAATCTCAGATCTTGTTTATCAGCAGACATGGTAAACAAATCGCGAGCTAAGTAGTAAAGTGTGTAGACGCCTACTAAACGAAGAACCACAATAACGAGGCATCGTTATTTGTAGCATATATTGCTGGATCTAATTAAAAACAGATATTTCGCTGAGTGAAGGCATGAAAAATCGCTGGAGCCCGAAGAAAAAAAAAGGACTTGGAATGATGTGACAGGGCAGGATACATTTAAAATTTCGAATATAACATTTAATTAATTCTAAATTTAAAACAAAGCTCGAATATTGCATGATGATGTTAAAGTGGGAGAATTTGTTGTGGTCAATTGTACTTTTTGATAGCGATTACTTAGATAGCTAGTTTACTGTAACGTTAAACATAACTTACTCGAAATACTAATTACTTATTCTAAATTTAAACAAAGCTCCGATTCTTTTTTTGAACTCTAAGATCTGGTGCTACATTGCATGTGAAACTTATACCTAGATTTGTTAAAATATCATTTACTACATGGATAAGTGCACTACATGAAAACCAGACTGTAGCTCAGGGGCAGTATCTAACACGAAAACATATGTCGAATGGCGCAAAATCGAAAGAAGTTTTCAAAATAATATACGTGTTCCAAATTCAAAATAATTTAAAAGTTGGAAAAAAGAAAAGTTTTTAAGTATTTATGGCCAGACTAGTCATATACTCATTCGTAGTTCATAATACAAATCGGTTTAACAAATTAGAAACTCATATTTCCTTAATTGACTGAAAACACAACAATTTAAATTATGATAATCACGTATCTTCTGCAGACTGGTGAGTATTTCATAAATTATTCGAGAGCTGAAAGGCCGCCCTTACTATCAGTATAAAATCGATATACACTAGTGGAGTGGGAGTTCCGTAGATAATTTGAGAAATGCGGGTCTTTGTCATTATAAAATTATAAGCAATTTTGCTCCATACTTGGTTATTATCTAATATTAGAAATTTACTCCGTCATGGCTTAGTGATTTAGTACCCGATTTATAGTGAATTCAGTTAATACCGAAGTAACTTTGTGTTTCAATTTATATTAGAGTTGCCAACCATCCCATTTTCCCAGGACATGTCCTAGTTTTTTGTAGTGTTCTGGGACGTCGTGGATTTTAACAGCATCCTGGAATTTTAAATATCTTTCGCCTCCTTTACTCGCTGGTTTTTTACATCGAAAAGTATGATTATTTTAATTACTTAAATTTCATTTCATTATATACATATTTTCACTATACATTTATTTAATTATTGCAACTCGATGCGTATTACATTATGACATTAAAAATAAAAATAAAATCATTAAAGAGGTTTCACATCGAAGCGTATGGCAATCAATTCTCTCTGTCTACAAAGTTTATATATGGATAGATAGATAAACTACATAACAAAGCAAAAGCCACTAAAGTAAATAAAATGTCACAATATGTCACTCACGGGTGAATGATAATGGAAAAGTATGAAATAATGGGTAGAAGTTGTTTAATCTATTAGTACAATGTAAAAATGAACATAGTCACGCACTGATTGGTAATAAATCGATACATAAGGCACATATTACACTATCATACATAACACATAAAAAAATATAAAAACAAAAATTACAAAGATATCATAGTGTATTAAAAAAATTACTAGTAATAAAGGTGCGTCCTCACAAATAATCCTTATTTGCATACCAATATTATCAAAGCAAAAGCAACTTTATCTGTCTGTCTGTCTGTCTGTCTCGCTTTCACACCAAAACTATTGAACCGATTTAAACGAAATTGGTACACAGGTAATCCAGACCCTGATTATTTACATAAAATAAATATTTAAAAAATATGACGGTTCGTCTGTTTGTTCTTGCTAATCTCTGAAATGGCTAAACTGATTTTGATGGGATTTTATTCATATATATTTTATATTATAGGGAGTAAATTAGAATATTTTCATATGTATTTATTGAAAAGCTGTTTAAATTAAAAGTACAAACATTACATTAATTACTTAATTCTAATAAGTGTTTTGTTTTGTTTCATACAGTCGAGATTTACGTGGGTAGCTCACTTCCATTGTGGCGTGTGGACCGACGGCAAATGGGCGCCTTCTTATGCATAGCGTCGAATGAGGTACCACCGGCGGTTAGCAGGCGGATTATACTTCTAGTAAACTGTGAGTATACATACATACATTTATATAATATAAGGTTTCTAATTTTATTATTATTGTTTCAATTAATCCATGTTTTCTAAATGCTATATCAAATTTAATTAAAACTGAACGCTTCTAAATGTATATAAATCTATTGCTAATTATGTCTTGAATATAAAATGCATTATGTACAACGATGCTAAATATAAATATATTGTTAATTATGTCTTGAATATAGAATGCATTATGTACAACGATGCTAAATATAAATATATTACTAATTATGTCTTGAATATAGAATACATTATGTACAACGATGCTAAATATAAATCTATTGCTAATTATGTTTTGAATATAGAACGCAGTATGTACATTTTCCAACCATTCGTATAGAATTTTTGTGCGGAGTTTATTTAAAACATGCACATTTTACTTACTTATCTTTCATTCCAATGTTCTTCTCATCCAATAACCATTTTAGAAAATGTTCAGATTTTTCCTTTTATTGCTACCCACTTCCACTAGTTTTTACTTTCCATTTATAGTCAGGGTTGGCAACATTAAAATATTTAGCCCCATACTAAAAATAAAGAAATCTCAATATTGGCTGTTTTGACATAATACATTGCCTCATGTTAACTGATTTTCCTACAGCCAAATCCGGTACAAAACTGTACGAAAATTAATATTGGTCATAACAATTTTTCTCGGATTCCTCGTCCCTCCGATGGTCGCGGGTTAGATTTCTCGCACGTTACAAATATTTGTATTTATGAGTATGATTGTTTGTATCGGTCTGGGTGTTTTCTATATATTATAATATGTATGTATTTATGCTGAGATATATATTTTTATAAAAAATATATATCTCAGCATTTATATCATTTGTCTATGTAGTATAACCCATAACACAAGCTCTGCGTAGCTTGGGACTAGATGGCGCTGTGTTTATTGTCTAGGGTTATTAATTTTCATACAGTTTTGTTTAATAATGTCAGTTTGTTTAATCTGGAACCTGTATGAGGATTCTCGTACAGTTGCCAACCCTAGTTATAGCTAACAAGCGCTTCATTGTCACGTGAAATGCATACAAAGAGGTATATTTAAGGAGAATACACACAAGAACTGTGTCTGTTTGAATTGAAACTACAGTGCTTCCAATTTATACGTCAAATGGCGTAAAATGAAACAAAGACCGCCATTTTAGTGTTGCCATTAGATGTAAATATTTTATCTAAAAATGGTAGTATTATAAGTCAGTTTGTAAAAACGTTTCATAATACGGTTGACTATAACAATAAATATCAATATAACATCTGTATAAAGTCATATATTATTCTATTAATAAATAAATTAATGAAGTAGTAGTTACATAACAATTGACGGCCTCGGTAGCAGTTCAGCATACTGCTTTACTTCCGATGGTCGCGAATTCGATTCCTGGTAGGATGCAAACATTTGTATTCATGAATATGATTGTTTGTATTGATCTGGATGTTTCCTTTGTACATTATGTATATATTTACAAAAAAAAATGTATCTATATATTTAGATCAGTTGTTCAGTATCCGCGACACAAGCTCTGCTTATCTTAGGACTAAATGGCATGTTGTGAATAGTCCTGGGTTATTATATTATAATTAATTTTGTATAATATTATCAATATACCATATATTGATGATAATCACAAAATTATTAATGTCCCCTTGTTTAAGAATGAGGCAATTAAACAAAGACATGTCAATGTTAAAAATGAACCTTAATGGTGTCCGTGAGAGTTACTTTTTTGTTAACAAAACTTCTCAATACATTGGCAGACATCGGTGTGAGTACTCCTTTAGTATTTATCCACTATGCTTGTGGTTCTTTGAGATTATTTTATTATTCTAAGAGCTTAGCAGCTTTCCACGAACGACTGGAAAATTCAAAAGTACATTAAGTTATCTCATTCGAATGGCTCGCTTCAACCCGAGACAATGGCGTGGATGGTGACCTAGTTCTACAAAGTTTTAGATTACCAGTAAATTAGTTAACTTTATTCACTACTACTCCTATTTATTGGTTATACGACTTTAAATGAAATACCTTTTACAAAGAATTAAAGTACTAAGGATTAATCTCATTGAATTTTTGAAAAGAAAGGGTTTGAATGACCAAAGTTGGGCAGCTTCGATTATTTATGAAGCCTTTGTTGGTATATAATAATTGGAGAACCGATGTTTCTAAAATAGATCGTTTCCTAGCTTCAATACACCTTGTTTAATACAATATATAAAAAAAGAAACTTTCATGTTTTATTAAATTTTAATAATAATAGTACTTTTTTTTGTGCATGAAAACTATTTACAAAATAGAACTTAATATTAAAATATGTCCACTTTTTTTTGTTAGCATATAACAAAAAAGCGGCCTTATCGCTTAAAACAATCTCTTATACATATTTTTTTAATCTCAATGACAAATGCAAAAAAAACGAAAGAAAAGTTCTTGACTAACATCATTTAATTTATTACTTATCTGTTTACAAATATTAATCGTGGAATCTTAAATTGATTAAGTGTGTAGAAAAGCATATAATTTCACTATCTTTTCTCACCAATGGAATCATATCTTATTAGGGAAGCTGCTTAGCGGCTGTAATAGCTGATACAGAATATCACGAATGGCTTTACTGAAAGTCTACTTCTGTAAAATCTATGTGTCTCAAGGTTTGTGAAAACAGTCTGTCAATGAACCTTCAACCTTAGAAGCATTATTTCTTGGCTCAAAATAAAAGTAATTATCAAGTCGATTATTTTTAATTTTAATAATTGTAGTTTGTATGTGATTCTGTATTGTATGAGCAAGTAATTTATTTATTATAATAATAACCCTTCATACTTCACACAGCGCCATCTAATCATAAGCTAAGCAGAGCCTGTATTATGGGTAATAAACAACCACATAAATACATTTTATTGTGTAAATACTTACACATTATGTATATATAGAAAATACCCAAATCGTCTTTGTATCGATTATTGGGTGCTTTCTATATATAATATGTAAGTATTTGGTATCATAATCTTTAATATCAACGTATTACCATGCTAGGAATCGAACCCACCGACGCTGTTGAATTTATTCTGAATTTATATATACATATATAGATATTAACCCACATATTTATTGTCATATATATAAGGATTTAGACACAAAGTAAGATTCTTTTCCCACAGAGCTGTGGTCATTTTACAAACTACTCTGTACTGAGTTGTAAACTTGTTGAAAAGTTTCAGTTGAGTTTGTAGTCGGTGAAACTACATACAACTGCATACACCCAACTCAAGTGCTGAAGTGTACTTGTACACTATACTTCTTTAAAGTTTACAGGAATGTTTTTTGAATTTTGTAAATGTAATAAAGCTTTTGATCAGATAATCACATTTCCGCGGCGGTCGACTAACGACTAGTCATTAAAGTGTCATACCTTTAATAAACAAATTTTAGCTATTTTGACGTAAATACAGGGGTGTTTTAAATTTGACGTGACTGTAGTAGCTTTTGAAAGAATAGACCGATTATGTTGCACTATTATTTGTTTCAAAACTGACGTGGTCAAGATGTTTTTAGCTACAATATATTCAATTATTTTTTATTCGGAGGTTAGTTTTTTTATTTTATATTTTTTTTGACGTATTTTCGAAATATAACAAAACATATTTACTGTAGATCTGTAAGAGATCTTTTTATATCGCTTATAATAATGTGTTCAATGTTCAGAATTTACGATTCATTAATATTTTAAGCATTAAAATTTGTGAAAATGTTGGAATGTTTACTAATCTATAACGTTTAATGGCTAGATTTATTTTAATGAAATTTAATATTACATTAAATTTCATTAAAATACATCTAGCCATTAAATATTATACTCTGTTTATCGTCTATGTTTATTTTTTATATCTAACAATTTGATTATTAATGTGTTTATGTGTTAGAAAGAAAGAAAGAAAAATATTTTATTGTTACACAGTCAAATACTATTTATATTGTAGCACAAATTGAAGGTCCAATTACATCGAATGCATTAAAGTTTTTAAATATGTTAGAATGTTTTTTACTCAATCACTCTTTAATGGCTACATTGATATTAAAGAAAATTTGGTAAATTTGGTTTTTTTAAACTCCATTACAATTTCGGACTATAATTGTATTTTTTTTATTTTAGTCGCTCCTACAGTGAAAGTGCCAAACCAGTTACTAGGAGCGCCTTTGGGCACTGACGTCAAGTTAAAATGCTACGTCGAGGCGTACCCTAACACAATTAACTACTGGATCAAGAACAGAGGGGAGATGTTACTAGATGGGTAAGATTATCTATAATACTGATGTTATAGACTTATTTATCTAAGAGAACGTCGTGACCTACCCTGCCTTAATGTCCGCCCGAAAGGTCGTAAGTTGAAATCTGGCCGACACCAAAAAGCCTTGTATGTCTATTTATATTTGGCAATGACTTTACAGCGATGGATATACCGATTTAGTTCCTCTAAACTGATCTAATAAACGGTATTTTTAATTATTGCTAATGAAATGGTGCAATCGTCTAAGTAATGGTTTACGCTGGCGGGGCACAAGTAGAGAATGATAAGAACATGAGATCAGGTCAGTTAGGTTTGACAAATTCACGAAGAATTTGTCACGATGGTTTCTGAGAAAATTGGATTGAGACCTACCTGTGGTACATTGCTAGAGATGGGTTCATTAATCCACATTACTAACTATCACCTTCCCCTGACTATTAGACCTATTTTTTTATGGAACTACAATGGCATATTCTGATTATGCATTTATTGGAAAATGCTTTAAATACAATCGAAAACCTGATTATGGAAAATTCTGATTTAATGAGAAGTGCCAACTATCACTTATAGTAGTAAACTGTATACCATAGACATTACATGGCACCTTTATGATTTTAAGTTACCGTTGCTAGGCAACCGTTGTTGTTTTTGGGTGTGAAAAAGCAACCGATTATTTTTAAAGAAATAAAATTAATTTTTAACGTTAATAGTGTTTAATGAACACCTATCGTATGCTCTCATGCTTAAATAAAATATTGTTTTTTCTATCAACAACGTCAAAATGGGTCTCAAAATATATATTATGATGTATATGATATTGGTAATATATACTATTAAATAGCAATATGTTTATTATTATATAGCATCAGATGAGCCAGTAATTTTTTAGTGATTTTAATTTTATAAAAAAGATCACACAAAAGATATTAATATAGGTACACAGTTAATAAAATTTGAACTAAATATGCAGTTATAAGACTCTACGTATTCCTCACAGAGACTGAAATAAATAGGTGCACAACCTGATTCTTACCTAGACATATCTAGGTAAGAATCATATTGAATCATATGATTTCCACACAGCGTTATTTCAACAATATTGCAAATCCTCTCAGCATATTACAAAGATATTGTATGGAGTGAATTTAGATGGAATTATATTATAATGAATGATATTCATATATGCATTTCCAAGGAATATTTAGTTGGAAATGAAATTGTTTAATGTAACAGTCGGATCTAGTTTACGCTGCTTCGTAGATATCAAAGTCATACGTGATGATTAGTAAACGATAAAGTAATAATATTATTTCTTACTAATATTTTAAACGGTTGTGAGTATGTATGGATTATATATAAAAAAAAAATCATTTCCGCGCGGATATCGGAGTGGAGTCGGGTAACAGTTAGTATATAATATTGGAATCTGTTATCTGTGTTTCCAACACACAAATTCCAAAATAGATATACAAAGTTTAGTGTCAGTCAGATTTCAAACTACTTTTGCGAATTTCACGACGCTCTCAAATGGACATAACCTGTATATTATATAACTATATACAACAATTTAATTATTATATATTTGTTTTGTGCAAAAAATGTTTGGTCTTCATCCGGAAGTGCTTTTCAGTTTAAATTCCCATGCGTACATAGTTATAAAATATTTGTGCAAAATAAACATAAGTATTAGAAATAATATAACCAAATTATGCATTAATTAATACCTTTATAATAATCACTAGCTGGCTCGCGCAACTTCGTCTGTATTACAATTACTTAACATTTATCTTTATATTTCGCTCAATATACATAAAATATCTTTTTAAATTATAGCCTATGTGTGATTCTGTTGTATAAGCTATATTATTGTAAAGTTTCATCACAACCCGTTTAGTAGTTTTTGCATGAAAGAGTAACAAACATCCATCTGTACTCACAAACTTTCGCGTTTATAATATTAATTAGATTATCGCTTCCCGTTTATCACTTGTTACAGTACCAGCTAAAATTAATACAGAAGCATAATGTAGCGTAAAAGATGTGGGTAGCGTTTCCTAATGATTCGTAGTAACTTGGGCTTCTCTAATACTTCTTGTGAAATAACCAAGAGTTAATGTTCATTTGTTTTGTTTCATCTTACTGCGAGTACACTCGAGATGTTTACTGCACTGTTATGCTGTTTTAGATTGGGTTTGTGCAACTCCGTACAGGAAGATTGTCTACAAAATTAGGTCATTCAGCAAATGGAAAATTGTTTAGAGAATTAATTAAATACTTTTATAATAACATATTAATATTCAATTCTATGTATATTTTATGACGTCAACTGTGTTGTATTGATGATACAAATAATAATTAAAGATCAGTACGTAAATTTCATTATTTTAAAACAATTGTCAGTTAACCAACACATGAAAGAACTTAAAAATTAAGTGAATATATAGTTAAATTAAAAATATTAATTTCATTAAATTTCATTGTCTTAAAAATTATTTTATGTTTTTCTAAAGAGTTTCCTTGTTCAAATATGTTAAGGGGGTCTTCCTATGTGACGGCCTGTTTTTTAGGGATATTTTAGGATTTTTTTTCTACGACCAGTAAATATTTAGAGCTTCAAGTTTTTTATCATTTATTAACACATATTTGGACAGTATAAATATAAAATTTCAGCTAAAAATATTCAGTCAAACTAGAGTTACAGCGCTCTGAACACCCCCGCCTCGAAAAAAAGAGCTCCCACTTCCTCCACGATTCCGGCTGATCGGCTTATCTGAAAAAAAAAAAAACGGCGTTTTAATTTGTAGGCTTAAAAGCACGGAATGACCTATATTCAAATGCATATAAAAAAAATTGGATTTTTGATAGACATTTGAAATAAAAGTTGCAAATTAGGCTTTTTTTTTTTTGTTTTTTGCTATAAAAAAATCGAAGTTTTGAAAATTTTCGATTGATAATAGTTCATTCCATGCGTTTACATATATTGAGTGTGCCCTGTAAATTTCAAGTAATTCGGTGCAGCCGTTTCTGAGATACAATGGAGGAAAGTTTGAAAAACACAGTTTTGAGAAAAACGCGTTTAAAGTTTCAAGTCCGTTAAAAACTATTAAAATATCAACTTACTCTCAATCGGCGATGCCTGGTCCATAGAGTATTCCTTCCTCTTCCTCGTGAAACTCTTTTAAAGCAGATTGTTCAGCTCTTGAGTCAATCCTGGCTTGTTTAACGACATCACTTACGCGCCGCTCAGAGCGTAAGATTCGCTTTTCATCCCGTTTCTCAACATACGCTTGGGCTTCACGACCAACAGGCATCCCATAATCGACATAACTTTTAAAATACCTTGAAAACCTTCATTAGAGATAATAACTGCTAAGTAGCTAGCAATTTCAACAACTTTGGGACCAGAATGAAGATGTTTAGGAGCGAAAGTCCAAATCAAAGAATTCAAAGATTCGTTATTGTTTTGTGTCTCTGCTCCTAAACAACGAATTAATAATTCGTCTTTCGATAAATCTTCGAAAACCGGTTTGATAGCTTGTTGGACTTGCGGAATTAGAGGTGGTTTATCGTGATGAAATTGGTCCAGTTCATTATTAGCTTCAGCCTTACGCCATTTACACCAACTGTCTTCGCCTTCTGGACAAAATTGATGCTGAGGGTTTTCATCAGAAGAACATTTGTGATAGTACGTTGCCCAAACTTCCTTTCTCATATCTTCAAGCGAATCTGGATGGCGTCGAATTGCTAATCCGTAGAATTTTGTAATTTCTTGGATAACTTTCTTGGATAGACTAAAATAACTTCGGTAAAATATTATAACAATAGAAATTTCTATTTAAGTCTGTAGAAACGTGTCTAAACTTGTATAAACAAATATATTAATAAAAGGGAGGCCAGGTATAAAGCCGACGGTACACAATAGGCCCGGTCTCTAACTGCCAACTCACCGCTCCGAACCGCTCTTTCTTTTACCTGCTGTATCTTTAAAACGACTTCGAATTTTCTAAAATCGCTTTACTACCGTATTCTAGACATGTTAAGGGAGCAATTTATGAAAAAAAAAAAAATCGATATTTTCAACCCATCACATAGGAAGACCCCCTTAAGATTTCTTTAACGATTTTTCTATGATGTTTTTGATACATTACTCTACAAAATTGTACCTTTTACATACTGCATAATTCTCGATATATATAGAATATAATTTATAACATTAATTAAATATAATACTAAGTTTGCTACATTATTAATAATTAACAAATCCTTGAGAGTATTATACATGAGGGTAGATAGATATCCAGGCCGTTGTTTTTGATTAGAGTTACATGAAATCATTCAAACAAATATTCGACAGGGAAACACTAAAGTTTTGTTCGCATTTATTTATTAAAATCTGTATAATAGCATGGGAATGGTAGCAGCAGTTTTTCTATGCCCTTCATGGAATGTAATTACTATCATCATAGCATTCTCGTAAAATATCTGTTATTCCACGGAGTTTACATCTTTCTATGCTAGTAATTAAAATATGAATAAAAAAATAATATTGATAAAAAACATGGCCATTATTTGCCTATGTCATTCGTAATATTTCCATTCTATGTAGTATTATTAAAACATGAATGTAGAAATATATGTTTGAATGTTTATCACTTAATAACTCTTGGTTTGGACAAAGAATAAAAGCTGGTACCTATAACCTGGATTTTTTTGATATTTATTGTATGTCTAGGAATGTCTGTGTTACTCATTATGTTAATACGTGAAGTAAAAACTATGTACCCATTTTTCAAAAAATGTGCAGATGGAAGAATATGAAATTTCGCACGCTTATATTTATATAGAGAATGAGTACAGTACGCTGTAATTTTTTTTTATTTATGCATAATAAATACATAAAATCAATAAAAAAAACATTACACACACTTCCATGTATGTGATACACTCACGCATATATACTCTTTTGTTTAATTGTTATTGCTGGTTGACATATCTTTTAGTATTTTTTATTATGCTTGAATTTCGACCACTGGTCGATCTAAATCTTTTTTCGTTTATTTATTCTAGACCTAAATATATAATAAGAGAAGAGAAGTCATCATACAAGGTGTCAATGTGGCTCACCATTAGACAGTTTTCCAAAAACGACATCGGTACATACAATTGTGTCAGTACCAACTCTCTGGGGAAGAGTGAGGGTACTCTTAGACTTTATGGTAAGTACCTCTTTTTTATGGTAAGTTTATTTGATGGTAAGCAGTAGCTGTTGTCTATACGTAAACAGCTTTACAGACGTCATTTTAGTATGTGTAATGATTCATGCGTTAACTTTCTAGAGAACTAAGATGCCATGCCTCTTATTCTGTAATTTATCTGCCTAATCTGCACCATATAACTGAAACATAGCTTACAAATAAAGCTGTTTGATGGTAGGAATAGGTGAGACTAAGATACTCAAGCAGACGTCTCTTTATAATCTAAACCGTGATACCACTCATGCATTGCATTCAAGAAGACGAAAATGTCATGCTCCTTATCCTGTAATTTCACAGCCTAATTTGTGCCTATAATTGAAACATAGCTTACAAAACAAGCTGTTTGATGTTTGGAATAGGTAAGACTAAGATAATCAAGCAGACGTCTCTTTATAATCTAAACCGTGATACCACTCATGCATTGCCATCAACAAGACGAAAATGTCATGATCCTTATCCTGTAATTTCACAGCCTAATTTGTGCCTATAATTGAACCATAGCTTACAAAGCAAGCTGCTTGGTGGCGGAAAAAGTGAGACTAAGGTATCCACGCAGACAACACTTTATAGTCTACCCTAGTACCTTTTAGTTCCTCTTCTAAACACTACTACATACAAAACAATGTTGTGGAACAGTAGATAAAAAAATGATTGAAATATTCAATACGTAAGTCATTTGCTTGAGTTGTCATCTCTTTCAACCAGTAACTAGCGTGCTTAGTAAAATGAGTTCCATTTCAGAGGTGAGGTAAGGCTCACTGCCTTCACAAGGTATTAAGGTATAATATTAGAACTTTTAAATAACGACGCTTGAGTAGTAGTATCACGGACGTCACATGATAACGTGATGTCGTATTGCTGTTCGTTTATACAGATGACGTGATGTCGTCAGTTTATTTGTTATTCCAATAAAATTATAATGTTTTAGTAAAAAATTAAAATAAGAATACAGTTTAAATAAAGATTATATATCCAGATTCATAATTTTATTATTAATTAACATTTATTATTATTCAGTAGTGAAAATCTATAATATTATTATTCAATTACATGTATGTTAGTCAATAAGGTATTTATAATTTTTTTTATTTATTCAGATATTAATTTTATATATTTGATTCAGACTACAAATGGATGGACCATTTGTAGTCTGAATCAAATATATATTTTTGGTTATCAAATAAATAGTTTCGATAAACTCTACTCATAATAACTTTATATGGGGTTTTATTAGGCACATTATGTATAAGAAATATAAATGATGTTTCCATTTACTTAAACGAGATTTCCCGCAGCTTCGGCTACAAGAAACCCGTTCTCAATCCCGTGGGTAATTCTAAAAACACTTTCTTAGTGGATACCTACTTAACATAAATAACTTTAGCGCAAAATTTAAAGTTTCCACATTCAGTGGTTTGGGTTGTGCCTTGAAATCCCAGTCATAATCTACTTTTATTTATCTTCTATAAAATCGTCGTGTTTCGAAACGGCTTAACCGATTTTGATGAAAATTTTATATGTATACTCGATAAGTCTAAGAACAGGCTGTTATCCATTTCTTATACACATAAGTAATAATGGCGCCCCACCCCAAATATTTTTTTAGATTTTTAGACTTCTATAAACATTATACATATATATATATGAAAAATACTAATACTATGAAAGCTTATATACTATATTTGTCTGTCTGTATCTTTCATGCCTTTTCGGGCATTTATCCCAAAGAAATATAAATAAAGACGTGCAAATAGAATGAACCACGAGACTATCATTTATCACAAAAAAGACAAACTTAAGATTCGAAGAATAAAAGGTCAACAGTCAACAACTAAGCTTATAATCTATATCCAAACTCTATTCATTGCCTGATGGTGATTCGTTTATAGGTTTTATATGTATCGCAATGTGGGTGTAGATCACATAACGGTCGGCATTTCATCACTAGTGAAAGGTCATAACGCTTCCAGTAGCGGTGATCAGGTTTCCGCACTAAATATATATATATGATCTCAAACATGCTAATGGTAGCTTTATTTAAAAAATAATATAAATCCATTAAGTACGTTAAATTAGAAGTAATGAAAATAACGATATATTATATTCAATAACAATATCTTTTTTTTTCCTTCATTTCGAATGTTTTGAAATTTCTTAAAAGTATTCCAGTTGTTTTCAAACAGATTTATACACCATTTTTATAATATTATTACCAATTCGATTCTAATTTGTTTTAATGTTTTCAGAAATAAAACTGAACTCTTACACAGAGGATTTCAGCAATCAAATCAGTGTCGCCGGAGGTATGAACAAAAAGTTTCTTTCTTTGAATACTTATATTTATTTTAGCAAATGAAAATGAAATCCCACAGGGTATCTTTTCTTTCTTTCTTACTAAGAAACAATGAATGTATTAAAATTTGAAATGTTGAGTGAGATTAAAAAGCGCCAGGCGGTTTCGAAACTTTATGGTCAAACATAAAGATGAAAATAATTAAATAAAAAGGAACTGAAGTTTCGTTAAATATAATTTGAGTATTTTTTAGGAAGGTTGACTTTGTAACAAGTTTTCTGCGCGGGTAACTCTCACTTGCCTATTTGTAGATTGTTCCCTTTTGAAGGATGAGATGTGGTAGTGAAATATCAGGGTACGGGAATATGACACCTAAGTCCTTAAGAATAAGAGGTATCACAACCGTCTATCGGTACGTGATGTCTGTAATTCTCTTCTATAGCCATTGCTTTGTATTACATTTCTTTATGTTGAAGTGGACATATAAATATACTATGCATATAGTATATCCATCATATGTTCATTTAAAGTAATTTGATATACTTATTTTGCAGCTTAGATTAAATTAAAATGGCCTAATAATTACTCTGTTCATATACATATAATGATAAATTTATGATGTATGTATGTATATTATTGGACTTATTAAACGTGTATTATCAAATAATGTTTATACATATTAATACTATATACATACTGAACGTATGTTTAATATATACGTTCATCTTTTCATATTATTGATTTGGTTTTGTAAATTATGATAAATTATAAAAAGTAAAAAAAATATATAAAAAATATTGTATCAACCGATACAATGCTTTTTATATAGTTTTTTCACACATGATGATGATAAGTAGCTATTAATTATCTAAATAAAAAACACTATCTATCTACTTTCAGTTAAGTGATTTGTGATAGTGATACAATATAAGATCAAAAATCTAGTTGCAGCATAGCGTGTAAGATTCGCTATAACAATAAACTAACAAGATGCATTTCTTTCTCGAATCCAGTTTGCAATACACAATACAGAGAATAATAGAAAATGAAATCTTTTAGTTGGGAATTCCATTAAAGCGATCTCTCCTCCCACAGGTCTTACCGAAGCGGCAAAGGGAAATACTTGTAAGAAAGTACATTTGGAATGGACGTTGTTAACGATATTCTGTTATATAAATCTATATATGTTGACATAGTTATTGTATTGTAAATAAAGCGTAATAATTTACATATATATTATATAAATGGAATATTTACGAAAAACATTACTAATGAGGCCAACACATCTGTAAGGATCTATCGATACATCTATACATACATTATATCACATGTTAAGAGGGACAATTGTATAATAATGTTTTTTTAAGGGACGATAATGGAATGGTGTAATCGCCTGCACTAATGTTATATGCTGGCGGGGCACCAGTGGAGGATGATAAGAGTATGTAGTAGTATGAGGTCAGGTCAATTAGCCCATCGTGGTAAATTCACCAGAAATTTAACATAATGGTTTCCAAGAGGAACCGCTTGGAAGTCAACCTGACAAGGTACATTGCTAGCAATAGAGTTATTAATTCAAATTACTAACTATCCTCTTCTCCACTAATAAGAGATTGAAGGCTTAAAAATTTTATGTAAAAAAATAATGGAACCTAGGGTCCACTGGGAGGAGCAGCAGTGATAGAGGGACGCGAGGGTAGAAATTACAAAAATTGTTGTGTACGACACAATAATTTTTGTTCATGAATGGCCCGTAACAGCTTTAAACTGTATGTTCAGCAATACATATAACAGAATCTAAATAAAAATATCTTAAAAAAAATGTAAATAACTGTACCTAATTAGCCACCTATACCGTAACAGATTTGGAGCAAAAAAAACCACATCAGAATCGGTCCACTCGCTTAAAAGCTACGACGCCACAAATAGACATACAGACTCGTTGAATTTATAACACCCCTCTTTTAGGATCACGAGTTAAAATATCGTTCAGTCTTTAAATGGAACATATATGAGATAAACTAATATATTATTACTGTTAAACTTGTATATTATTATTGTATAGCATTACTGTTTGTCTGAACATTTTTATCTCAGAAACTGCTTAACCGATTTAGATGTGGTTTTCACAACAAAAAGAGGAGTGTAAAGTTTCATTTACAATTTAATGTCTGTTTTATTACAATCGGTTTACAAATGAAAAAGTTATGAACAATTCTATTTCTAACACCACAGGTACGTACTTAGCTAGTAAATATTATATAATAAATATATATTGTATATTGTCATGGTAAATATCCCATTTATATAATGTAACACACTTGTAAACAACCATAAAAAAGTTTATAACATTTTATGCTTTAAAAACGAAACGTAATTCAATTACATGTTTCAATTTTTGTAAATAATAATTGTAAGTGTAATAATACTAATATTTATTGTAAAAACAAGTGACACAACGAGGAATATATATATATATATATATATGCATATAATTTGTAATTACCTAGATGATGTATCCAAAGTTTCGCTTAATACCGCCAAAATTGAACTGTTTACATTCCATTGTGTAAACTCATTGCTCGATTATAAGACTGTTTACAAAAGATAAAAAAAAATAAATGATAATGAACTAAAAATGTGTTTTTGTTTGACTTTACCTTCAAAACATGCCGTAATTTTTTATACTACGTTGGTGGCAAATAAGCATAAAGTCCATCTGATGGTAAACAGTTACCGTAGCTTATGGACACCACTAGAACACCAGGGGTGTCAAATGAGCGTTACCGACCCTTAAGAAACCTTAATATACACTTCTCGAAAAAACTGTGTTTAACCTTAATAAATATCAAAATAATACTAATAATAATGTTTAAAACATTAATATATATTCTTTTAAATTATTAAGTTTTAATTGTAATTTACAATATGTAGCTACTACTATTATATATATTGTTAAAAAAACAGAGAATTGTAATTAAATTAATACGATAGATGGAATTGACATGACACATAAATATATATAAAAAAAACCTTAATATATATCAAATAACTTTCCGTATGAGCGGTATTTTAAAAATAAATTAGTATGATTTTTAAATTTGCTTAAATTGAAGTTTATATTATAAAAAGATTTGCTATTCTACTCTATTTTCTAACATTCTATTTGTTAAACTTCAAACAATAATAATAAGAATGTTTATAACATTAATATGTACCACTCTGTAAATATTCACCTGCCGTGAAATATTAAATTGTAATTTTTTTGCTACCAAATTCCATTAAGGACTTTCATCACATTATATTCAAAACTTTACATTATACAGAAAGTTTTGACATCTTTTGAAAGCAATGAATGGAAAAATAATGTGATCGCTTATAATGCACAGTGCGGATCACACATAAAAGAAGGTTCTATTGATGGGAATATTGGAATTTAAAGTGGCTTTCATCGTGTACGCGCTTGTAAAAAAATATCGATACTCAATGACGTTGAACATTATTAACAACAAACTTGAGTATACACAAACCGTTAAACGATTACATAGTTCTGATATTTATATATTTTATATGTAATGTTTTTTATTATTATTATAACCACAGATAAGATAATATTATAATTATAATGGTATATATAATCTGTGACATGTGAGATTGAAATATTGTCTTCATACAATACCTTCAGTATAACATGTATCTCACTTTATTTATTAGTATCTCTCATAGAGTCACATAAATAAAGACGAATATGATAGTATACTTTTAAGAGTGTTTCTTTTATGTGTGATCCATACTGCTGCTTCTTTTCTGTGGCTCGTTTAAGCGTTTCGTTCTACTGATAGATATATTAGATTTTAAAGTGGCTTTCATCGTGTACGCGTTTGTAAGAAAATATATATACTCAATGAGGTTGAACATTATTAACAACAAACTTGAGTATACACAAACCGTTAAACGATTAGATTTAATATATATATATATATATTATATTTTTTATATCTAATATTTTTATTGTTTTTACCATAACGGATCATTCGACTGTATTGTTGTCTAAATGTTGAAAACACATAGATTACAATGGTATATCTGTTTACCTGAGAGACCGAAATATTGTCTATATATAGTACTTTCAGTGTAACATGTATCCCATTTTATATATTAGTATATTTTTTTAATGGATGCTAATGGAATGTTGCACTCGCCTGCGCTAAGGGTGAACACTGTCGGGCCACCAGTGGAGGTTGATAAGATATCCATGAGGTGAGGTTAGTTAGCCTGATTAATTCACCACGAATTTATTACGCTAAAAAAATACACACTATTTTATAATTTCAGCCAAGTTCGATCTCACGACCTTCAAAAACTGAGTGTGGTAAAAACTGGTAGTCTAGTAAAGACTATCTCATAGAACTATTATTCTATGTTTATAAACTGATGTATAAAGTACCTAAGTGTGTTTCTACCATTTTAGAATCCTGAAAATGATATTCACTCGCGAATAATTTGGCTATTTATTTCAAGTCCGCCGGGCCAGGTACGCTTACACCAAAAACGAAGGTTGCAATTTGATAAAATATTCAGACAGTCCATTTTTGCTCCCGTTTCTGCTGCTAGATATATAAAATTATGCAACTATAGGGTATGCACTCCAGTTGCTGACTTTTGATTTAGTGCAAACAGCGCGACGTTTTATTTATAATTTAAAACGTCCACAGTGTTTGAAATAAAAATTCTCTATATTTGATTTTGTCAACTGTATTTACATTGTTACATAAAAGACTATAGATAAATATTGTTTTGAATTTCGGTTTCGGAAAGTGTGGTTTCAGAGAAGCTTTCTTCCGCCTACACGTAGTTTGAGGATGAAGTTTTCTCGATCGAGTACACCATGGGGTTTTTAGGAAGGGTATATTTGATAGAGATATTCAGTGGATTACGTATACAGTTGTAAATATAATTTATTGCATGCGTTCCAATAGTTGCATGTATGTTTTTCTAATTTCGTATTCACACACATATCATATCATATGATTACGATCAGTATAAAAACAATAATATATCGTATTTCGTTCCATTTTGCAGTTGCATATATAATCGTTACACACAAACTGTTACTTAGCAACAATACTTATTTTAAATGTGATGGATTATACTTTTTCTACTTCAATCAATGTGCCTAATACGGTCCCTTAATCCATTACATTTAAGACATTCTACATCTCTACATTTAAATAACATACATAACATAAAACAATATACAGAAGAGTAAACAATAGAACTACTAGCAAAAAACATATCCAAAATTAAATCTGTGATAGAGATATTCAGTGGATTACGTATACAGTTGTAAATATAATTTATTTCGTTCCAATTGCAGTTGCACGTTACACACAAACTGTTACTTAGCAACAATACTTATTTTAAATGTGATGGATTATACTTTTTCTACTTCAATCAATGTGCCTAATAATATTAAGGTTACTAAGTTGCCAGCAACGCGTTTCTGGCGTCCATAGGTGGTAACAATTTACCACCGGATTTTTCACCATTTGACTATGGTGGCAAAGAAGCACGCGTTTGCTTGCTTGCCACCATAATTAATGTTAATAATCCCTCGTGATTGCAAGCGCGGGCTTTCGCGAGTGCTTCTGATCGCGCGGAAAGGAATATATCTTATTAAGGCAGCTAATGTAGCGGATGTAAGTTTTTCTAATTTCGTATTCACCCCGCGCATACCATATCATATGATACACTTTCTACGATCACGTATAAAAACAATAATGCACTATCGTATGACATCCACCATATTGTAGTCGCCATTTTGATGGCATCTAAAGGTTCTTGTTTCAAAACCATAGACGTGTCAATACATATTCATCTTATACTATATATAAATACTATTACGTATATATAATCTCAATAAACGCGAAAGTTTATGTGTATCGATGGATGATTGTTACTCTTTTATGCAAAAACTACTGAACGGATTATGATGAAACTTTACAGTAATATATCAGAATAACATATAAGCTATAATTTAAAAAAATATTATGTAAATTTGGCGAAATATAATGGTAAATATCAAGTGTGATGCAGACGGATTTGCGCGGGTAAGCTTGTTGTATATACAATCACATGTACATTTGTAGGTCACAATCTAGTGATTGTAAGCAAACGGCAGCAATAAATAGAATAGAATAAAATTTATTACATCACGCATCAAAAAAGAATAAGAAAAGCAAATAAAAACAAATACTAAAATAGTAATAATGAAGTATTACTAGATTATCCACCACTGAGCAGCATCATCATTGCGTCACTGAATTGATGCAAGAAAGTCATCTCAGTTAACCGTAGTAGGTAGTACAACAAAACAACGAACAAATCTACAGATGATGTAACTAATTTAATATAAAATAACGCAATAGACTACATACATACTTTAAAGGGTATGTATAAACGAATAGAACATATAGTAAATGGATTAGTATATATATATATATTTTAACTGCATATTGAGAGTTTGCAGGTACAAATTAAGGCTTCATATATACACGATATATGAAGCCTAAATAGCATAAAGGAAGCTAAGGAAAGTAAGCTCTACCTATATGTACTACATATATGATATGTATATAGTAGAAAATGGCAAACTGTGCATACCTCAAATGATGGCATAAAAACAAAGCAATTC